AGTATTGGCTGCTGCATTTTCAATCCAGCTCCTTACTAATGCACCTGAGAAAGAAGAGAAAGATCACCTAAGTATCCGGTGAATCAACGGAAGGAAGACATTTCTCTCTATCTCTCTCTCTCACTGTCTAACTCTGTCAAATAAATTAAAAAAAAAGAAATTGAGTGTGGTACACACGGTTCAGTATCATTAATCAACTTTGTGGTTTATTTCTCATGCTCCATGTTAAAAATAAATGATGTAGTAAATTCATCTGATTACATGACCATGATTGAGGCAATACGTATTTATTTTTATGATAAGAACAAAAATCAGCAATACAAATTCCATTTGGCTTTTCCCCTAAACTTGTTTTTAATTTAAGGTGAATTTCTTATGATGGGTTTTTGCTGTCGTTTCAAAGTAATAAATAGAATACAATCTATAATGTGCAGAATGTTTCAGAGTGTCTATAAAAGTCATGTTTTTATGTAGTATTCCAATGCCCGTTGATTCTGTTTGTTTCTCTTATTTTATGATTTTCTATTTTGCCTCTGAATTTTGTGGTGATTGAAGCAATGAAGTGCTTCTACTAATCCCCATAAATTAGTAGGATCTGGTGAAAATGCTCTCCTTTCTCCCCATCGGAAGCTTCATAATGAATTGTGAAGTGTTGCAACGGAGTAAAACCATGAGCTTCTCCCTCTATTATGATATTAGCTTTTTCAGTTTTAGTGATAAATTTGGTGCATATGTTTTTTAAAATGTATTCCTAAGTGATCTGTAACTAGAAAAAAATACTCATCAGAGAGGGCATTTAATTATTTAGATAAATACTTTCATAGACAACAGTCTCCTCCATCTGCAGAGCCAGTTGTTGTTATTGGTGGTTTCTTTCCTTGTTACTTTGGAAATGCCCTTAGATTTTGTAAGCGCTTCATGCCATAGATCTCATTTACAGTTAGAAGATCTGACAGTTTTGGGAGCTGCCTGCAAAGACGAATAAAAGATGAGCAGAAGATCATGCTCCTTTCACAGCCAGTATTCTCAGTGTCAAAAAATATTGTTGTGCCGGATTTAAGACTTAAAATAGTTATGGCAGGTCACCTGCACACTGCAGTCTTTACTGCCATTCAGATCTGAAGGCCATGTCTTGGCATATGACTGTTTTTCACAAATTGATGTAATGGGTTTCACACACACACACACACACACACACACCACAGACACTTGTTTCCAATGCTTTTTAAATTGTTAATAAATTCAATATTTTTGTAAGAAATATTGCAAATAAGACAACACTTAACCAATAGGTATATAAGAGCAAAGTATGATGTGAGTATAAGAGTTTCCATTGAGGGGCTGGTGCTATGGTATAGCGGGTAAAGCTATATGAGCACAGTTCGAGTCCTGGCTGCTCAACTTCTGATCAAGCTCTCTACTATGCCCCGGGAAATCAGTGGAAGATGACCCAAGTGTTTGTGCCCCTGCACCTGCTGGGGAAAAAGCTCCTGGATCCTGGCTTTGGATCGGCCCAGCTCGGGAACTTGTGGCCATCTGGAGAGTGAAATAGTGGATGAAAGACCTCTCTTCTCTCTCTCTCTCTCTGTATCTGCCTCTGTCTCTCTGTAACTCTGCCTTTCAAATAAATAAATAAATCTTAAAAGAGAGCTTCAATTGAGAATAAAATCTGTTAGTTAGCAGTAGAGTTATCCCTTTAGAAAAGTTTCTCACTATTTTTAGGGAGCATTTCTGATGCAACCTAACAGTTACTCAAATAATATCATTGCTTAAGATTTTTTGAATGTGAAAGTATTATGGAATGACTGTGTCTCCTTTCTATAATTCATAAGTCGAAGTCTTACCTCAATGTCTCAGAATGTGATGATATTAGGGTATAGTGTCTACAGAGGTAGACTAAAATGATTTTTAGGTATTAGGATATACTGTCTATAAAGGTAGACTAAAATAATTTTAAGGGTGATCGCTAATTCAATATGACTGGTGACATTAGAGGAAGATGAAATTTGGACATGAAACACATACAGAGGAAAGAGGGTATGAAGACATGGAGTGAAGATTGCCATCTGTAGATTAAGGAGACACCGAGAACACAATGTTTCCACCTCACAGCATTCAGAAAAGACCCTGTTAATATGTTTATTTGGGACTTCCAGCCTCTGTAACTGTGAAAAATAAATTTCTGTTGTCTAAGCCACCCTGTCTGTGGCACCTTGTTACAACAGCCCTGGTAAACTAATGCAAGTATCCACTACTGTTAAAAGATATTAGTACTGAATGGATGCTGATCAAGACATGTATTAAAAGACATTGGAATTATAATTCAGAATGTAATGCTGAACCATTCGGTAAGATTGCCTCTTGATGGACAAAATTAATTAAAATAATCAAAAATGGAAAATATATATGGTATTTTATATCCATGCTGGAAAATAGAAAAGGTCATCATAATAGTTTATCACTATTAAGAAATTCCCTGATATATAATTCATGATATATCAATCTACTGGAAAGGCCAACTCATCCAATATCTTTGACTAATGGGAGTGTCTGGCTGGATGAGCACTGGAATGAACTTGTTCAGGAGAATTAAGCTAACACCTAGGTAGAAGTAACCGAGGATCACAGTAGAGGTGGGCATGAGGCACCTGAAGCTAGGGAGAGGAAATAGCTTTCACTAAAATTTGTACTTTATTTTTCAAATGCCTTTAATGAAGGATAATTTGCACGTTACAAAATTCACCTGTTTTTAAGATAAATTAAATGATTTTCATTAAATTTAAAAAGCTGAGGTGCCAGTGCTGTGGTACAGTAGGCTAAGCCTCTGCTAGTGGCACCATCATCCCATACGAGTGCTAGTTTGTGTCCCAGCTTCTCCTCTTCCTATTCAGCTCTCGGCTTATGGCCTGAGAAATCAGTGGAAGATGGCCCAGTGCTTGGGTCCCTACACCCATGGTGGGGAAACCTAGGAAAAACTCCTGGCTGCTGGCTTTGGCTTTGGCCTGGCTCTTTCCTGGCCCTTGCAGCCACATAGGGATTAAACCAACAGATGGAAGACCTCTCTCATTTTGTCTCCCTCTGTCCGTGAAATTCTGATTTTCCAGTAAATTAATAAATCTTTTTAAAAACATTTTTAAACTCATAAAGAAATACATTTGTAAACACTCAGGTGCTGATCCCAGATAACATGTTTGTTTTATTCCTTGAAGTGAGTTACAATTTTATTCCAGTGATGTGACATTTTTAATTGTCATGTAGCATAATAATGTAATATAAAAACATAACTATGAGAAAGATCTCTGCGAATGAGACCCCAGTGGAAAGAACAGGTCATCAAAGAAGGAGGCACCTTTCTCTGAAGGGAGGAGAGAACTTCCACTTTGACTATGACCTTGTCTAAATAAGATCAGAGTCGGCGAACTCAAAAGGCCTCCATAGCCTTGGCAACTCATGACTAGAGCCCAGGGAGATTACTGATGCCATAAACAAGAATGTCAATTTGTTAAGTCAACAACAGGAATCACTGTGCACTTACTCCTCATGTAGGATCTCTGTCCTAAATGTGCTGTACATTGTGATTTAATGCTATAACTAGTACTGAAACAGTACTTTACACTTTGTGTTTCTGTGTGTGTGCAAACTGATGAAATCTTTACTTAATATATGCTAAACTGATCTTCTGTATAAAGATAACTGAAAATGAATCTTGATGTGAATAGAAAGGGAGAGGGAGCGGGAGAGGGGAGGGTTGCGGGTGGGAGGGAGGTTATGGGGGGGAAAGGCCATTGTAATCCATAAGCTGTACTTTGGAAAATTATATTCATTAAATAAAAGTTTAAAAAAAAGAAATAAACTTGAGTTGTATCCAGTAAAAAAAAAAAAAACTATGTTTTCTTAATATATATGCCATTTTATAAAATAATGGTGTAAATAAAAGTCTCATAAAGTACAATGAATTAGAGTTAAGTACTCTTTCTTTTCCTGAATCAAGAGGATACAAGATATCGGAACTTTCAATAGTCATTTATTTCCTTGAGAAAATTGACGTGGTCTGCCTACACATGTTTGCTCATTGAAAATATGGAGCACCTATAATGGAATTTAAGAAAAAACACTTATTCTTACCACATGTAGTTATTTCTGCATCATAAATGAGTTTTTTTTTTTTTTTGTTTTGTTTTTTTGCTTAGGATAAGAATGACAAATATTCTGTGTACGCACTGCTCAACTCAAAGTAAGAATGTACTGTCCAGGCTCTGTGTGCTCAAACTCAGATGAGAAAGATTTGTTCACACCACATGGATAAATTATTCATCACATATTAAGTTCTTTTATTTTCTAACTATGTAAGACCTGCTAAAATATATTCATTAAATTAATTAAGGTCATTCCATATTTGCAGGAATATTGCCAGATGGGTGCATTTTCTATAATTTGTGCTACCCTGAATGGAGATACAATTGTAAACATCTTTGCACCATGAGCAAATAAACTATATGGCTTCTTTGCTAATGTAGGGCAACATTCATAAGGGATTTTCCTATATGATAGTGGGATGAAAAGAATTTTTGAGTAAGAATCATTTGAAGATCAGCCTGATGCACCTATGTGGCTTTATAAAGTTATTCATATTGAGCTATTCTGAAACATTAACAGGTACCTAGTCTCCTTTCTGTTCTCAAATATTGTCAGCTGACATAATTCAACAAAAATATATGATATTTCCTCTGAATCTTAGGAATTATTTTTAAGAAGAGAGAAAGCTATTTAACTAATTTTCAACCTAAGTGGTATAAAGTATTTTCTGTCATTATTGTCTATATTGGCTTGTTTCAATGCTAGCTTTATACAAAAGCAACAGTGCCCAAGGGCTTCAAAATATCTTTCAGTAATTTTAGAAGTGTTTGACATTTTAAAAGATGTGCTTTGCTAAACTATGAAGGCATGTTTGAACAGTACATTCTTAGACTACAGTAATTATGACATCTGTGGGGTTCTAATATAAATCATGTTTGGCAGCCTCTTATTTTCTAAGAAATGAAAAATTGGTGCTGAGTAAAATATACATTGAATGAAGCAGATTTTTTAAAAATGCTCTCCAACAAACTATGTAAGTATTTAGCCAATTAATAATATTTTCAATATTTATGACTAGGCACAATAATGAAAAATAATTATGAAGTTTAAAAGAAAATTTCTTGATTAAGGTGGTCAGTTGTCAGTGGGAGTAATTTGGCAAAATTTTCTGCAAATTGTGAACTTCTATTTTTCTCCTAAACTTCCAATTGTTGAAGGTATGAGTCTGGTGGATTAAAAAAAAAAAAAAGAAGATCCAATTATTATTGCTGAAAATTTATTTTTGTCAAACTTTGTTTTAGATGTTTGTAAAACCAATGGTTAAAATTTTTATACTACTATAGTTTTAATGATATATGAGTATCTTAACATTTAATTCATATGGGTGATATGGCCATCTTTCCACTTGATTATTTTTTATAGCTTAGGTTATATTACCACTGAACTAGGGTATTTTCAGTTTTTAATGTTAATTCTTTTATTTAGCAGAGCATTAAGCCCTTGGCTTTAGCATCAAGTAAAATTGTTATCTCAAATTTAAGAAGGAAGGAAGAAAGAAAAAAAGAAAGAGAGAGATGGAGGGAGAATTGCAGAGTTGGAGGAAGAAAATATCACTATATTCTTAGGATTGTATTTATGAACTACATTGAATCTGTTGTTTTTGAATTAATATTACATTAATATAAAAAGTATCAGAAAACACAAAAAATGGATCCCATTAAATTGCATCATATAGCAAGTCTACCTAATATGAGCAAGGGTTATATCATAGAATTCACAAGTATGGATTGATCCATCTCGAACTGGAAAGTGTAAAGACAGTGTCAGATGGTGGAGATGGCATCAGAAGGAATATAAAAACAGTCACAGGCATCATGGTGTAAAGGAAAGTGCTGTAACACGTGATTAAGGCTTTGCCCTTCAATATTGAGTTAAACATTTTGAAAACTTTAATTGGTTGTTTGTTTGGATTTTTCTTACAGTCTATGTCTGAGGCCAATAACATTATTACATGGAAACAGTTTATCATTCTTCAAGCAAGTCTGATTACTGTATACTAAAGTAGAAGAAATCCTTGGACTTACTTTTTGGAGAGTCAAAACAATTCTTTTCCTATGACCCTTAAATTAAAGAAGCACTGAAAATAACCCAGACTAATGCAATCATGATACATAGGAAAGAAAGAGAACACTATTCCAGAAATTTACATTGAGAAATATGGAACACAGTACTTTAATTTACTACTTAAGGCACTCTATGTCCTAGATTGAATTTCTGTGTGAAGCTATAATTCAGTGAAATTATAAGTAGGTGACTGTACAATCGAAGCAAAGTTAGCTTTTGTGGTATTAATGGAAATGTTGCTATAGGGTAATAGACCCAGTCTTTCAGAAGTAACACACAAGTGGCATCAACTGCTTGGGGCTCCCTTTGTTTGGTACAGAACTAATGACACTGACTAACTCTAAGGTATTAGTCTCTCATACTTCTTTATATTTTTATTTCCATGTGTAAACATTTGTAATTCAGCAAACATTATTCCTTTAAAAATTGAGTATATGAATAATGTTGATTTTATTTCACTATCATAATAATTTCTTAAAATTTCATACTAAAAACGTTATTATAAATGAATAATTATGAAACTACCAGAGACTTATTATGGAGGAACACGGGAAAACAATGTTCAACAGAAAAATAGGGCTAATTAGAGTTTAGTTTTTATCATATGATTCTTTAAAATTAAGTTATAGAATATCCATGTCATTAGTAAATAAATATAATCTAAAATATTGAACATTAGCAGGATAAGTATTATGTAGCAGATAAAATATATATGAGCTTACATCATGTTATAAACAAGTTTCAATTAAAATTTTATAAGAAATATCAAGATGTAAAATAATTATAAAATATCATTTTATCATAATTTTTTTAAACTGTGTTATAAGAATACCAAAAGGAAACAAATTATTCTACCAATTATCAACTTTAGATAGCTGAATTGTGTTGCCTTTATTGCTTCAATTTTACTGTTCTGTAGTTTCAGAATATTTACTTAATAGGAAATTAACTGAGGTAACTACTGGGCCTTATTTTGTATCAGGTTTTATTTATATTTTTAAAGCTCCAACTTTATAAATACACACACTCTCATACATATTTCTTTACTTAAAGAAATGTTTTATTCTTACATGTGAACTTTCATTGTAGGAATATTCTATGACAGAAGAATTCATTATTACACCTAATGTATTAGAAATATATTTTTGATTAGTGTTTTTTTCTTTAGATTATTATGCTGTGTAGAGAAACCAAAATATTTTAATTCCTTCATATAATTTAACCAAATATAACACTTTAATGTTTACATTTACATAAGATTTGATAGAATAGGAAGCTGGTATTCAGACACAATGTTTTCTGTTTGCAGAACTAATGATAAAAATGAAATAATGCTATATTCCAAGACTATTGCAACATATGAACATGAAAGGATGTTTGAACACACAGTTTTTTTTCTTCTAAAAACTTTATTTAAACTCTTTGGACATCAACACAACAAAATATATGTACTGGAATTCATGAACATTTTCTTTGTTCATATGCCTGGAGTTTGGTGAAAATGACAATGTTTACCAACTATAATACAGGGGCTGAATTTCGTCACAGGAGGTAAAGCCAACACCTGCAATGTTGGCTTCCCATACGAGTGTTAGTTCAAATCTCAGCTGCTTCAGTTCCAATACAGTTATCTGCTAATCGTATGGGAAATTCAGCAGAGATGGTCCAGGTATTTGGGCTCCTGCCACCCATTAGTGAAATCTGGATGAAGCTCCTGGTTCTTGGATTCATCCTGACCCAGCCTGGCCATTGCTGCCATCTCTGGAGTGAACCAACAAATGGAATACTCTGGTTCTCCTTCTGTCTATATAACTCTGACTTTGAAATAAATAAATAAATAAATAAATAAATAAATAAGTATTTTGTAGAATTCTATTTAAGGTCTACAAGTCTCGTGTATTTCATATATACAGATTTAGGAGCATAGCGATACTTCCCACTTTACTCTCCCTCCCACCCATCCTCCAAAACTTCCTCCTCCTCCCTCTATTATTCCTAATCATAATTTTTACAAAGATCTATTTTCAGTTTACTTTTACTCATAAGTTTAACTCTAGACTAAGTAAAGAGCTCAACAAAGAGTATGAGGGAAAAAAAATCTACTTCTTAACAAAGAGGCAAGGACTATAAACAATCATCAAATGTCAAAACGTCCCTTTCACTCCAATACAATACATTTTAGGTACTCTATTCATTATTCCATATCAGAGAAAACATGATATTTGTCTTTTTGGGACTAAGTGAAAAAAAAAAACAGGATTATAAAATGTCTTTCACAATTATTTTATGCTGTCTTCAGGGCTTCTAAAATTGTAGGCACAATTAGTTATTTCATTCAATAGTCTGGGTCATTACTTATAAAAGGAATTTTGCACACACATACATAATTTCATAAAAAACTTTATTGACAATTGCTGCACAAAACAAGAAAATGACCTCGTATTTACTCAATAAATCAATCTGTTAGTACATGTGCAAGAAATAGAGAAGACTAGAGAGTAATGATGAGATTATTACAATAATTAATGGAGCCAATGAATAGTTTATAGGGGATTCCAATTCAATCCCATCGAGGTGGCATGTACCAATGCCATCTCACTGTTCCAGGTGATCAATTTCAGTTCACAGTTGGTCATGATGGAGGGACTGGGAGTCAAAGGGAGCACATAGACAAGTCTAGTACCTGCTAACGCTAACTGATGGAGTAAATAAAGGGGAGATTGATCCAACATGGGAAGTGAGATACTCAGCAGACTCATAGAATGGCAGATGTCCTAAATAGCACTCTGGCCTCAGAATCAGCCCTAAAGGCATTCGGAGCTGGCTGAAAAGCTCATGAGAGTATTTCAGGCATGGAAAGCCAAGACACTCTGGCAAAAGATCTCTGCGAGTGAGATCCCAGTGGAAAGAACAGGTCTTCAAAGAAGGAGGTACCTTTCTCTGAAGGGAGGAGAGAACCTCCACTTTGACTATGACCTTGTCTAAACAAGATAAGAGTCGGAGAACTCAGAGGGCTTCCATCGCCTTGGAAACTCATGACTGGAGCATAGGGAGATTACTGATGCCATAGACAGGAGTGTCAATTGGTAAAGTCAACAACAGGAGTCACTGTGCACTTACTCCTCATGTAGGATCTCTATCCTTAATGTGCTGTACATTGAGATTTAATGCTATAACGAGTACTCAAACAATATATTTCACTTTGTGTTTCTATGGGGGTGCAAACTGTTGAAATCCTTACTTAATGCATACTAAACTGATCCTCTGTAAAAAAAAAAAAAAGAAGAAATTATCAATTCCCAACTTGACTCTCACTGGGATTAAACATGACTTAGGTCTGCTCTGATTTCATCATCATTTAAAAAAAAATCATCTATTATTTTTCACTTTATATTTCTGTGTGGGAGCAAACTGTTGAAATCCATACTTAATGTATACTAAGCTGATCTTCTGTATATTAAGATAATCGAAAATGAATCTTGATGTGAATGGAAGGGGAGAGGGAGTGGGAAAGGGGAGGGTTGTGGGTGGGAAGGACGGTATGGGGGGGAAGCCATTGTAATCCATAAGTCGTACTTTGGAAATTTATATTCATTAAATAAAAGTTTAAAAAAAAAAAGAAAAACTTGTTAATAGAAATGTGGTTTCCAAGACCATAAAATTATTTGAGAATTTCAAATTCAATTAAATTTGTAATTCACTTATCTATGAATAAAATTATCATTATTGATAATTTTTAAATCAAGACAATTTAAAAATATTAAAAGAAAATAATTTATATCTAAAGTAAATATATAGACAATATTAAATTGCTCTAACTGCTTAGAATTATATCTATGAGCCACATTTAATCTGTATGTAATAATATCACATTAACATGAAAAGTAGCATCAGATGACAAAAAATAAA